TATTATTAACAAAAATAAAATATAAATTTTTGAGAAAATATTTTTGATAATGATTAATTTTTGCAAAGAATTATTTTGGCTATAAACATAATTTTTGAGAAGATTATATTTTTTATTATTATAAAGAACTATTTTTGCTGACGAAAGATATAACTTAGCGCGTTTTTTTTACATCTGTAATGTCTTTTTTTGTGGGATCACTTATCCTTTCCATCATATCCTTTACTTTGTTTCTCATTCCTTGTATCAATTTCCCTATCTCCTCTTTTTCTTCTCCCTTTTCTCCCTCTTTTTCTGGCGATCTGGCTATCTTATTGCTTCTTTTAAAAGCTTCTCTTCCCTTTTTCCTGCTTTTCTCCATTATCTCCCTTTTCTTTTTCCACGATTTATCTAAATTTCCTAAAATTCCACTCCTTTCTTTTTTCTTTTTTCCTCTTACTCTTCCACCCCTACTTTTAGAATTTTCTTTTTTCTTTCCGCTATTCATGATTCCTATCTCTGCTTATCCCTATCTATATATTTCCTATTCTATGCCTCTTATCTTTTATTATCCTATTCTACCTCTTCTTCTCGTAGTTATTCCTTTCTATATCCTCGATATTTCTTGCGTAATGCGCTTTCTTCGCCTTCTCACTCTCGTTCCCGCTCTTTCTACTTTCTACTCTTTCCCGCGTGTCTTTCTTTATTACTTCCTCCTTTCTCTTTTTATTCTCTCCCTCTCTCCTCTCTCTCTCTCTCTCTCTCTCTCCTCTCCTCCCTTTCCTCTCTCCTCCTCTCCTTCTCTCCCCCTCTCTCTCTCTCCTCCCTCTCTCTTTCTCCCCCCTCTCCTCTCTCTCCCCCCCCTTCTTCTCTCTCTCTCTCTCTCCTCCTCTCTCTCTCCTCCCTCTCTCTCCTCTCTCTCTCTCCCTCTCTTTAATCTCTCCCCCCCTCTCTCTCTCCCTCTCTCTCTCTCTCTCTCTCTCTCTTCATCTCCGCGTTCACCTCACATTACTCCACTCTTCCCTTCTTTCTATAACCTTCACAAAAAATCTCCAAGCACACACAGCAACTTCCCACGTGTCTATCATCAACGCACCGGAAACGGAAGTCCTCATCCTTGTATAGTATTTAATATCCTACTATATAAGCTTCTTTAACATTATTTTGCCTCAAAAACTTACAATAGTACCTCTAATGTATTGTAAAATTCTTTTTAACGCTTACCATAAATTTTTACTCGCGCAAGACTGATATCTATTTGGAATACTAATTGAATTATATAAATATTCGATCTAGTACATAACATTACATACATTAAGGTGCTAATTAATTGTCTACATAGTTCTTTTCTATTTTTCAGATTCAGATTTTTTTTTTTAAGGTATTTTTCTTTAAAACACTTGACTGATTTAGAACAATTTTACTTTTACAGTGTTTTAAAAAAGGAAAATTAATATTCTCTCTGCATTAACTGACAGGCGCACATCTAGGCGCCGAACCAACAGTAGTACAAGATAGTCGCGCGCACAGTACAAAATAAGTTTAATTTAATTTTTCAGCATATTCCATGTAACTTTTTTATTGAATTAAATGCATGTAGTAATATGTTACATAAATAGTACAATCGTAATCTAGTAAATAATCTTTGATCGTTGAAATAATCTTTTATCGAACAACATTTTATGCCCCACGTACTGTTACACGGTTTTAGCCTACAAAATTAATTACGTTTTGTTTTTTTTGACATAATGGGGTAATGACGAACGAATTAGATGGGGCAATCTCGAACTAAAGCTAAAACTAGAAAAAGTGCGAGGAATTTAAAAAAATTTAAAACACGATACACAGCGCGCCACAAAGCGGAAGGAGGAGCAAACGATGACTGTCTACGACTCGTGTTCGAGAAATCTTCGTGTATCGTGTTACAGTAGAACGTCTCTTCTCGTCGGGCGCTTTTATTTGCGTGGATTGGCCGATCTTTTTTATTCAATAACTCAATAATTATTGCGAAAATCGCAAAACGGTAGAGGACTTTCCTATTTGGTTTAACTTATTCTACCTGCACACGATGGTTGAGGCGACACTTACCGGACACACTGTATATATATATATATATATATACATATATATATGTTGTATTTATTTGGTGAGTCGAATTATATATTTTTAATATTAATAATAAAAGTTTATGATTGATTAGTTATAATAATAAGTAATAAACATACGTTTCGCAAACGTTGCAGTTTGCATCTTCAGGGTTAAGAGCTCCGATACTGAGTCTTCTTGGGTTGTGGTCCTTATATATATTACGAGTTTTTCATCTATGGGAAAATATTCCGTTATGATGCCCCTTAGTAGTGTGAGTGTATATTAATGGTAGTGTGCCAAATAGGGTTTGTTTGATAATCTTTGTCACGGTTGAGGTTGTCGGGATGCTTCAGAATTTCTAGGTTTTCACGATGTTTTTTGGCGAAATAACATTGCGAGGAGACCAGTCTGATTGCTTGTCGTATTGTATAGAGTGTCCCGTCTCCATCTAATGTTCTGCCAAGACTGATTGACTAAAATGACCGTACTTGGCACTCCGTTGGTGTTCCTTAATTCGTGTACTAATCATTCTCCCAGTTTCTTCTATGTGCATTTTTCCGCAGGAGCAGGGAATTCTGTACCTATATATTTGGTGTTTCTAACAAGGAGAGGTCGCGGTTGACTCTTCACCGATTTTGATTTCCTTTTTTGTGGTGCATTAGTATTAAATTTAAGTTGATCCGTGTTCGAGTTTTGCGTCCAATGCACCTTGTAAGTAATTTTTTTTATACAATTAAAATTTAGAGAAATTTCAAAACTTGGGCTGTCATTTTTTTTTAATTATTTCAAATGTATATGTAATATGTATTATTTATTGTGTAAAAATTGCAAATTTAAAAATATTTATTGTTAAATACGCATGTATCTCTTTATTATATTTAAAACGCATAAAATGATCGCAATATAAATAAAACATTTTTAGAAATATTTTTAAAATGAGAATTTAATTATCTAATTATTAATAAATCTTTAGATCTTATTTAATTTTGCTCGTTTAGTTGGCATACAATATTTACTTTTATTAATTTTGAAATATTTTTACTTTTAACAGATTTATTTAATATATTATTTTTATTATACATTATTTAATTATTTTTATTATACATTTAAATAATTTAATAATGTGTATTATAATATACACTTTTCAAAGTTTTACTTCAAGGACTTAACTTTACAAAGACGTTCGTATTTTTTAACTGCTTGTAAGTCTTTGAAAAGTGTGTATATTTTAACACACATTATTAAATTATCTAAATGTATTAAAAAATTATTAATAATAATTAAAATAATATAAGTCTGTTAAAAGTAAAAATATTTCTAAAAATATTTTATTTACATTGCAATCATTTTATGCATTTTGAATATAATAAGGAAATATATGCGTATTTAACAATAAATATATGCCGAATATTTATTTTTACATAATAAATAATACATATACATTTAAAATAATTTTAAAAAATGACAGCCCAAGTTTTGAACCTGGGATTACTATCCTTGAACTCTCCCGCTGCACTAGCAGTACTGATCAAAAATATGTATCTCTTTAGGCCTTACAACGAACTTTGAAATTTCTCTAATTTCAAATATAAAAAAAAATACTTACAAGGCACATTGAACAAAAAGCTCAAACACGGATCAACTTAAATTCAATACTGATTTGCCACAAAAAAGGAGACTAAAATCGGTAAAGTGTCAACCACGACCTCTTCTTGTAAGTGTGGTCTCTGTTCCTTGGGATTAGGAAGTAGTTGCGCAATCTTTTTTTGAGATTTGAAAATTACTTTGACGTTGTGTTTACCCAGCATCTTGCTAATGTGTTCTGTTGTATTTTGAAGATTGCGACGTTAATTCACGCCGAGCTTGAGGGGGAAAACGCCGAATTACAATCGAGTGACGAGTACCTGATTGGAGATATCAGTCTTTATTAAATATTGTGGTATCCAGAAATAATAGCCGAAATGAACTTAATAGTATCAGCAGATTGAAAGGTACAATAACTATAAGTATTTGGGCGCCAGGTGCGATTCCGCACGCCACGGTATCAAAATTCCTTCGACAAGAAACGTAAATTTCCCGCCCTTCTCAGTATTTGGTAGAGGGGCGCGGTTCACAGATGTTGATTTCCGAGATTCTGGAGAGGGGGTTTTATTAAGTATAACACAGAGATTAATAACAATTCAGATAACAATATATTTAATAATAATTGTATTCGAATGAATCATTGAGAAAAATATATCTATAGAGTATCGGCATCTTCGTCTCCCGGATCTATTGTTCCGCGCGCACACCGCATTCCGATCAATCTTGTGCTCCGCGGACAATTACAGGGTTACATATACAGAATTGGTTAACAACGAAGTATAGATATAAATGGTGGATTGCTATAACGAGATTTTGACCGATATCATATAATAAAATTAAAGCAGTAATCATATAAATGGTGATATAACTACGACATGAGTACGGTATCTTACGAATTTCTTCCTAGGGACATTTCCCCTAAGACCGCAGAGATTTTTCTTACGAATCCGGTATCTAAATCGCGGTATATACACTGGTGAACGTCCTCGCGGCGCCCGCGGAGCACAAGATTGATCGGAATGCGGTGTGCGCGCGGAACAATAGATCCGGGAGACGAAGATGCCGATACTCTATAGATATATTTTTCTCAATGATTCATTCGAATACAAATATATTAAATGCACGGTATCCGGGAAACATATTGCAAGTATTCAGCCGACTTTCGGACCAATATTTTTCTCGTCTTTTTCTTACAGGGGATGTTAAGAGAAGGAACAAGGGGAATTTCTGAGATCTCAACCATAGGATTCAAATTCCTCAGTTTCCAAAAATTTCTAAATATTAATTTGTCGCAATAACATCGCGTTTGGCTCTTAGTCGAGATGAAGATGGAGTTTTTTAAAAATAGGAGAGCTGACTGACAAATATTCTTATTAATATTGCAAGTATGTTTTACATTGATTAACCAAAATAACTCCGTAATAGAACAACAAAACGACTGAATCCGATTTTTGATATACGAACGGTAATGGAGGATCACGCGGTAATTTCGCAAATCCGAATGATTCTCGCAGAGGCTTAACTACGACACTTTATTCGCGGAGAACGCCTGTGCGCGAATTCCGGCTCTCAACGATTTACACGTTCTCATACGAAACGATACAAAACGATAAACGATACGTTAAACGATACGACTGCCGGACGGCAGTCCTGGGAGGGATACATTCGCGAATTCCGAGATAGGCTGATCTCGCGGTAACTACACTCTAATAGAGAAAAGATGTATAATAACAGGAAAAATGGTAATTACTCCACACCGGTACCCGATATCCTCGAGTTACGACCCCAGTCTAACTTGGATTTATACATTTTACACGACTTGTCTGAGTGGCGGTTTACAGTTTAATCTTCATAGGCGGAGTGTTCAGGGTCGTCCTGAGGAGTCATCTTTTCCAGTTTACGTTGTGCCGAACAATAATCCTCTCCTGGAGCGTCGTGAGGTCCTTCGCGCTCCGCGCTGATTCTTTGCGCATCCCCTCAATAGTTGGCTGGTGAGGGGGAGGAGGTTGATTCAATCTGCCCATCGATTTCTGATTGACATTCCCTGTTGTCGCTGATGTTAGCCGGTACACGGTATCCAGGGGTAGGCTCTAGATCAGCTGACCGGGCCGTCTTCCAGGCCTCTTCTGACGTGGTATATACGAATCCGCGGGGTCTACCCATTCTGCAGCAAGGTATGATCCACGCTGATAGCCCGGTGATAGCTTGCTGAAATTAGGGAGGATCGTTAATTCGATACGCAATATGGGGAATAGCGTGATCAGCGGGAACGCGATACATGACCTTGGCTCCCGGAATCCATCCTTGACACGGTAATCGTCCTTTGACTCCCTCTTCTTATTCCTCGGTAACTTGCTATACAATTAGTATCTTACTTAGTTAGAATCTCACCGCACTCAGATAATCGTTACGACCTTCGATGGCTGTTTACTGACTCAAACAAAAATAATTTATAACGAAATAAGACTCAAATCGGTAACGCGGGGTTGTTTTTCCCCAAGGAATGAGGGACGACCCCCAGGACAGTTTTTCCCCTCGGCCAGATGATAGCCCTTGTGACGGCGCTCACCAAAAAACGCCACGTCACAAGATACGAAAGGATCGTTCATTTTTTATCTTCTTATTCATTCAATGTAGCAATATTTGTAGAACTGAATACTGGATTTAGTTTTTCAGCCTTTCAGTTCGATTGATGTTTTTGCTGTTGTATCTATTCTTGGTCAAGACTTGGTTGAAATGTTCTAATTCTTCATTCAGGGAAGTTGATTAAGAAATTGTTAAGGCTCTGTATATTAATGAACCGATGACAGAATTCTTCTAAGTCGGGTGATGATGAGAAATGGCATGGAAGTAACGATCCGTATGTGTTGGTTTTTAATAAACCCGATGGCTTAAGGTGTCGTCTTCGTTCTTTTTAATTAACACGTCTAGAAAGAGGAGCTGCTTATTCTGTTTTATTTCTATTTTCTGAAGATGCAAACTGCAATGTTTGCAAAACGTCGGCATTAAGCTGTTCAATCACGCGGCATCCATCCGAAAACCTTTTGCATTGATAATTCCAATGGCCGCGAAAGCTTCAAAACTAGAATAAACATCACAATGTACTTAGAGATGAGATGGTTCGGAATAATTAACATTGACAATTTCAAAATTTAATAGTCGATCATACATAATAATTGGAATCTCGGATAATTCCACGCTTTTCAACGATGGAATCAGAAAAGAATTCTTTCCTCCATATATGGTATATCCTAAGGAGTGAATGCAGTCAAAAAAAGATTTCTAGATTGTACTTAAACATGAAAACAATTGATGCTTGTCATAACGTTTAAATAAGTTGATTTTATCAATATTGTTATTATATACACAATGCATTGTTATTGTCTTAATGAATGTATTCTCACGGTATCATTTATTTTCGTATTAGTCGATATGTTAATTTACACTAAAGAAGACTATGTACAGTCAAAACGTTTGTAATTTATTTTATTTTAATTTATTTATTAATTAGAACGATAAATATGTTTAATTGGATTGTACTTTTAATTATAATTTTGATTGTAGTGTCAACTATAATAATAGGATTACGTTTATAATTTTTATGTGATCTTTTAAAATAAAAATAAATTAGTGATTTTTCAATAATTTTAAGCTTGTCAGTTGACCTTTTTACACAATCTCAAATTTTAGAATAAACATACTTGTTTCTGCTTTAAATTTTGCTTTATTTGATTTTTTGTTTAGGTATTGATAATTACCCCACTCACCCTTAATATTTATTTTAAAAATTTATTTCGTTTATCTTCAATAAAAAATGATTAATTTTAAATACAGTTAATAAATTAAATACAATTAAAGTTTCATACATTTTATTTTGTTTTAACGAAATTAACTTTATGATTATATATGTAACATATTTTTTATTTATTATTGTTTTTATATATATATATATATATATATATATAGTGTGTGTAAAAAGATTGTCTCAATTCAAAATTTTATCAGAATTTACTTTAATTTTTTATTAAACAAATAAAAACTCAAGATACAAATATTATTATATAAATGTGCAGTACTTATAAACGGTATCACTGCGAAATACTCTTTCATTTTTGTATGGCAATTTTACAAATTTGTAATTGATTTTATTCAAAGGCCATCTTCGAATGTCAGATAATTCAATTACTTTAAAAATGTTTAAATGATTAGAATTACATATATTATTATAAAGTTCTTTAACAACTTTAAATTTACGACTGACTGCAATATAATTGCCATCACTCGATGTTGCAATATTTTCCAAACAGATAATATCCTTTTCTATAAGACAACAATTATCGGAAGATTTGATAGAAATAATAAAATGAGAAAATTCAACCTTCGAAAATTGTGGATTGAAACAACCTGATATTAACGGTCCTTTCTCATGTCGATTCTTTACACATATTTTTGAAATGTCTGCATTGTTAGATTTTATGAAAACTCATTTCCGCATAGCGATTGTTAATTTACTTTAATGGTTTCTCAGATCTTTTTAAAAGACATTGTAATTCCTTCATAAAATTTTCAAATGAAAAGGCGATATCTCGTTGAAATACGCGACGGATATTTGCGCTTCGGCATGATTATATATATATATTGTTGTGTTTTAATATAAATGAAAATTATTTAGTAAAAAATATAGACTATGCACTTGCCTTATTTTCTGAATAACTCCTGTCCTGTCCAATATATAGTATCTTCTTTCCTGATAGCAATACGTGCGTCGGACACAATCCACCGTTTCGGAAGAGAGGATCAGGAATGCGAAGCTGAGTGCGATCAACAACGTCGTTGCAATCGTCGTTGCTAATGAACAAACATAAATTAATTTACGGCGATATCTTGTTGAAATACGCGACGGATATTTGCGCTTCGGCAAGATTTTATATATAAAGTTTGTTGCAAAACAAATCTTTTTAATTCTTTTTCCCTCCTTTTTAATTTTTATCATTATATAGAGAGATAAAACTAACAATCCATATTCAATATATATAAGGATCACAACCCAAGAAAGCTCAATATCGGAGCTCTCAGCCCTGAAGATGCAAACTGCAACGTTTGCGAAATGTCGGCATTACGCTGTTAAACCACACGGCATCCATTCGAAAACCTTCTGCATTGATGATTCCAATAGCCGCGAAAGTCTCAAAACTAGAATTTAAGTCTTATATTCGTCATATTATGCCGTCAATAAGACATCAAAATGATGTCAAAAGACGTCAAAATGACATCAATAAGTCGTCAGAAAATGACGTCTCATGAATGTGACATTTCGACGTCATTTTCGAGTCTCATAGGACCTAACTAGAACGTCTCATTGATCGTTTCGTGACCAAAATTGGCCGTTAGTATGACATCATTTTGTTACTTGGGTATATTTACAATTATATATATTTATGAAAGAAATAGTAGGATAGTAGTGTAATACAAAAAAATATTAATTTATACTTAGTATATACATACATATATAATAATTATTTTCTTGTAACGCTACTATCTTATTATTTCTTTCATAAGTATATAATAAATACAAAAATGACATAATCTTTAAAAACTGATCTTTAAAAAAGGTAAAGAAGGCGCCTAGTATGGGTTCACCAGTAGTCAAAATTTATCCATTGTAAACCCATGGAGAATCGTACTTACGTAGAATCGTACTACAATAGTTATTTGTGTTACAAGTACGAAAAGTTGGCTATTAGTCACGAGTGCGGGTAAACGCACGACCCGAAGGCGAGTGCGCGTTTACCCGCACGAGTGGACAATAGCCAACTTCCGTACGTGCAACACATTGTATTTTGTATTACACGTGCATGCAAAGTGGCACTTTTCGTAAGCGATTTCTGTACGCAAAATAACGATTTGCCAACATCTACCTACAAAATATTCCATACGTCATATTCAAAGTTTTATCTCACGGGAAAACCGTGGGCAATAACTTATTGCCTACGAGTATCAAGCCTTGTTCAAGTAGTGCTCCTCGTGCGGAAAAGAAACGCGATTGGCGTACTATCGAGAAAAATAAAATATATAATGTGCGCTATCGGGACTATGTTTAATTTTCTTGTGTGTTATCGGGATGCGTATTAAAGGGATGTGGGCTATCGGGAATTATTTTTAATTTGACGTGTGCTATCAGGCTGTGCGCTATCGCACCATGTGCTAACGAATCCCGCGCAACATAATGACATACAAATACAATTATATTACTTATATTACTTATTTTGACTTACATTACTTATATGTGACATACATGGTGCGTTCACAAAGTTTTAAGACTGATTTTTTCCTGAGTAGAGGAAGGCGCGCAGACCGGTTCCACCGACAGGGTAAAGTAGTTGGGGGTGTCAGCTAACCGACCGTTCAGCGGCAATTGCCTCCGAGACGCTGGAGTAAGCAGATCGCTAGTGGCGTGAGTGCGTGTCAGTGACCCCTGTGGAAAACTCGGAGAGTCGAAAGTGCAGCATCATTTGGAGCAGCGTTATTCGATAAAGTTCTGTGCAAAACTGAACAAAACCGCTACAGAGACTTTTGGTATGATTCAAGAGGCCTATAAAGAAGAAGCCATGTCACGTGCAATGGTTTTCATGTGGCACAAGAGGCTCGAAGATGGCCGCGAGGACGTGGACGACGATGACCGCGCTGGGAGACCTTCAACAAGCCGAACTCATGAAAATTTGGTGAAAGTGCGTGAAAAACGACGGTCAGTATTTAAAAGTTCACGGACTTTCACCAAATTTTCATGAGTTCGGCTTGTTGAAGGTCTCCCAGCGCGGTCATCGTCGTCCACGTTCTCGCGGCCATCTTTGAGCCTCTTGTGCCACATGAAAACCATTGCACGTGACATGGCTTCTTCTTTATAGGCCTCTTGAATCATACCAAAAGTCTCTGTAGCGGTTTTGTTCAGTTTCGCACAGAACTTTATCGAATAACGCTGCTTCAAATGACGCTGCATTTTCGACTCTCCGAGTTTTCGACAGGGGTCACTGACACGCACTTACGCCACTAGCGATCTGCTCACTCCAGCGTCTCGAAGGCAATTGCCGCTGAACGGTCGGTTAGCTGACACCCCCAACTACTTTACCCTGTCGGTGGAACCGGTCTGCGCGCCTTCTCCTATCAGGAAAAAATCAGTCTTGAAACTTTGTGAACGCACCATGTATGACATGAACACAATAATCACGAAGCATCACTAGTCACTGGTGCAATCTTGTGGCAAACGTTTCAACTGATCAAAATTTGAGTGAGTTCCGACTGTCACAGTATCAATTGAACACGATAATATTTCCCAATCGGACACAGTCTCAAAATGACACAGTTTCGATTGAACATAGTTCCGATTGGACACAATCCTTTCAAACATAGTACTGATTGGACGCATACAATTGCTATCAGACACAATCTCAATCTGATACAGTCCCGATCAGACACAGCTAATCGGATACAGTGTTGATCGACTCAGCCCCGATCGGGAGAGGACTACAATGTCCATGGCCCACAGATTTGATTATAAATTATTGTTAAATGAATCATTTAGAACAAAACTAAGAATGGTCAAAGTTGCTTATCGTTTTAGAGAAATCGATCTTTTATTATCATAATTATATGGACTAATGTAGAACCTTACGGCGTGTGGAAGGTGTATGCGTAAACACAGTGGATACCGCCCTGTGGGAGGCTCCACTATCAAAAAACTAAACGCAAGTTTGGATTGAATCTCGCTTCGCGTGGAAAGTTGCAAACTCATGTGTAAATAAAAAAATCATATGGAAATGTTTGGTACGATACACTACCATGTCTCTTGAAGCTGATTAAAGTTTGAGACATTCCTGGAGAAAATATTAAAAATTCATATAAATACAATATAAATATGCAGAATACCTTGTCTGTAATATATCTCAAAGTAACAAATATTAATTTTATGTAAACATTACGTTAATAGTGAATAATTAATTTTAATATTACATCATAATAACTGGAACATTAATAGAACATAAATATGATGATTTTTTTAAATCGGCCAACAGAGCCAAAGCACAAAAAATTAATTATTCGGAACTGTATCTCTTGGTTTCAGATCACTAAGTTTCATATATAAATTAAGTTCAAAACTTACATATGGAGAAATAGGCGCGAAAAATATAGGTCCGAAAAGTCGCTGAAGCGAAAATCGAATCCGCGTCTTTCACTTTCCGGGCGACTGCTCTTACCAACTAAGCTATTCAGACCCTTTCGACCTTATTTCCGTGTTCCTCTTTTAACTATTAATCGCTATGATGTTTTGTCAACGACGAATGGGACGTGTTCTTTTTTTAACTATTAATTTTATATAAGACCGGTGTTATGTTGCGTTAATCTCATTTTAATTGATGGAATTTTTACTTGATAAGGACCACAACCAAATGGTCGAAACGTCGTGAAAGTATTGAATAAAATTGCTAGTTACGTCAAAATCAAGTTTGCCAAGTTTTTTTTGTA